ACTTACATGAGGTACCTAAAGCAGTCAAATTCTTAGAATGGTGGTTGCTAGGGGCTTGAGCATAAGGTGGAATGGGGAGTTGCTATTTGAGTCAGTGTAGAAATTCAGTTTTGCAAGATGAAAAGAGTTCTAGAGATGGGTGATGGTGATGTCTGCACAACAATATGAATGTATTTAATACCATTAAACTACACCATGCACAAAAACAAATTCAAAATGGATTAAAGACTTAAATGTAAGAACTGAAACCACAACCAAAAAAAAGACAAAACTTCTTGAAGAAAACATAGGCAGTAAGCTCTTTGACACTGATCTTAGTAATTTTTTTTTGCATATATCTCCTCAGGCAAGGGAAACAAAACCAAAAATAAACAAATGGAACTACATCAAACTAAAGAGCTTTTCCACAGTGAAGGGGACTATCATCTACTGAATGGGAGAAGATATCTACAAGCAATCTATCTAATAAGGGGTTAATACCCAGAATATACAAAGAACTCATACAACTCAACATCAAAAACCCAAACAACCTGATTTTAAAAAATGGGCAAAGGATCTGAATAGACAGTTTTACAAAGAAGACATACAGATGGCCAAGAGGCACAGGAAAAGATGCTCAACATCACTAATCATCAGGGAAATGAAAATCAAAACCACAATGAGATATCACCTCACACCTGTCAGAATGGCTATTAGCAAAATACAACAAGTACTGGTAAGGATGAAGAGAAAAGGGAACACTCATGCACTGTGGGTGGAAATGTAAATTGGTGCAGCCACTATGGAAAACAGTTTGGAGGCTCCTCACAAAATTAAAAACAGAACTATCACATGATCCAACAATTAACATATGGGTATTTTTCTGAAGAAAACAAAAACACTAATTCAAAAAGATATATACACCCCTATGTTCACTGCAGCATTATTTACAATAGCCAAGATATGGAAGCAACCTAAATGCCCATGGATAAAGAAAATGTGGTGTATATACTTATGAAACAGAATATTGTTCAACCATAAAAAGAATGAAATCTTGCCATTTGCAACAACATGGATGGACCTAGAGGGTATTATGCTAAGTGAAATCTAAAAAACAAAACAAACACAACAAAACAGAAACACAGTTACAGATAGAAAACAAACAGGTGGTTGTCAGAGGGGAGGTGGTGAAGGCAGGAAAGAAATAGGTGAGGGAGATTAAGAAGTACAAACTTCCAGTTGTAAAATAAATGAGCCACGGGTATTAAGTGTACAGTGTGGAGAATACAGTCAATAACTGTAGTATCTTTGCATAGTGACATATCGTAACTAGACTTACCATGGTGTTTGAAATGTATAGAAATATCAAATCACTATTTTGTGCACAGGAACTAACATAATGTTGTAGATTAATTATACTTCAGAAAAAAAAAACTCATATAAAGAGATCAGATTTGTGGTTAACAGAGGCAATGGGTGGGGGAAGGGAGTGGGAATTGGTTGAGGACAGTCAAACTTCCAGTTATAAGGTAAACAACTGTTAGGGATGTAATGTACAACATGATAAATAAAACTAACACTGCTGTATATTATATAGGAAAGTGATTAAGAGAGTAAATCCTAAGAGTTCTCATCACAAGGAAAATACTTTTTTCTATTTCTTAAATTCTGTATCTGTATGAGATGATACATATACACTAAACTGTGATAATCATTTCATGATGTATGTAAGTAAAATCATTATGCTGTACTCAAACAAACAGTGCTGTATGTCAATTAAATCAATAGAATTGGAAGAAAAATAAATAAAATAGAATTACAAAGAAAAAATGGTTAAGATGATAAATTTTGTTATGCATATATTATCACAATTAAAAATAATAAAGAAAAAGAAAGAAAACATGAGAATCAAATACTTAGGAATAAATTTAGACAAGAAGGTATAACACTTGTACATTGGCAACTACAAGACCTTACTGGAAGAAATTAAAGACCTAAATAAATTGAAAAACATCCTGTGTTCATCGACTGGAAGACAATGTTGTTAAGATGGCAATAAACCCCAAAGCAAGCTAAATATTAAATGCAATTAATATAAAATTCCCAACAACCTTTTCAGCAGAAATTTTAAAAAGTTGATCCTAAAATTCATATGGAGACACAAGGGTCCTGATTGGCCAAAACAGTCTTTAAAAAGAACAAACTTGGAAGACTCATACTTCTCAATTTTAAAACTTACTACAAAGCTACAGTAACCAAATCAGTGCAGTAATGGCATATAGATCGGCATATAGGTCAATGGAACAGAACTGAGAGCCTAGAAATAAACCCTCACATCTTTGGTCAACTGATTTTTGACAAGGGTGCCAAGACCATTCAACGGAGAAAGAACAGTCTCAACAGCTGATTTTGGGACAATTCCATGTGGAAAGAATGTTTGACCCCTACCTCATACCATATAAAAAACTCAATATACATCCAAGATGCAAATGAAAGAACTAAAAGTATAAAATTCTTGAAAGAAAATATACGGACAAATCTTCATGACTTTGGTTAAGAATCCACCTGACAATGCAAGGTTTAAGCCCTGGTCCAGGAAGATCCCCCATGCCAAGGAGCAACTAAGCCCGGGCCCCACACTACTGAGTCTGCACTCTAGAGCCCACGAGACACAACTACTGAGCCAGCAAGCCACAACTACTGAAGCCCACGCACCTAGGGCCCGTGCTCTGCAACTAGAGAAGCCACCACAATGAGAAGCCCACACGCCACAACGAAGAGTAGCCCCCGCTCGCTGCAAGTAGAGAAAGCCTATGCACAGCAACGAGGACCAAAGGCAGCCAAAAATTAATTTAAAAAAATGGCCAACAAGCACATAAAAAGATACTTAACATCATTAGTCATTATGCAAAGGGAAAGGCAAAACAAACCACAATCAAAATGACAATGAGTATGAGATACCACTTTGTACCTACTGGGATGGCAAAAAAAAAAAAAAGTAAATAAAGAGTGTTGGTGAATATGGAGAAATTGGAACCCTTAGAAATTGTTGCTGGGAATGTAAAATGGTGTGCCCACTGTGAAAAACAATTTGACGGTTCCTAAATAAGCTTAAAATAAAATTACCAAATGACCCAGCATTTTCAACTCTTACGTGTATACCCAAAAGAACTGTATGTAGGTGTTCAAATAAAAACTTGTACACAAATGTTCATATCAGTTCTATTCACAATAGCCAAAAGGTAGAAACAACCTAAATGTCCACGAATGGATGAACAGATAAATAAAATGTGTCTTAACATATAATGAAATATTATTCAGCCATAAAAAGCAATGAAGTACTGACAGATGCTAGGACATGGATAAATCTCAGAAAGATTATTCTAGAGTCAAAGAAGCTTGACACAAAGGCCACATATGATATGATTCCAATTAAATGAAATAACCAGAATAGGCAAGTTCACAGAGACAAAAAGTAGATTAGTGATTGACAAGGGCTGGTAGGAAGGGGGAATAGAGAGTAACTGCTTAGTGGGTATGAGGTTTCCACTAGGGTGATGAAAAAGCTCTGAAACTAGATAGTGGTGATAGTTGTAAAACACTGTGAATATACTCAGTGCCACTCAACTGCATACTTTAAAATGATAAAACTGTAAACTTTGTTATCTATATGTATTTTAGTACACACACCAAAAACCCCTCTATCTGCATCCTTTCCCCCACCTCCTCTATGGAACAAAAGGCCTCAATCTGTGTCTTTCCCAATTTTTGGCTTACTTTAAAAAAGAGTCTTATTGTACTATTTATATGTGTAATTACTATCATTTCATACCTACCAAAAACTCAATTGAGAAATAATATTTATGGTTAAATGTCTGAATGTTTTGTGCCTTCTTTCGGCTAAACCAGTGGTCTCCAAATTGTTTTGATCATGGGGTCCCACTGATAAAACATCTTTAAGTACAAATTACTAAAGTAGATATTTATTTATAAATTATATATTATTGCTGTACTCATACACTGTAAAACATATACAAAAATATAAACTTTAAAAGGTTCATACTCCAATGAACCATTTTGCAAGTATCCCTATTTGGAGAGCACCTGTCCAAATCAATTTTATCTTGGGTCTGCATTTACTGACCCCTTGAAATCTGCCTTTATGGAATTCCCTCAACAAAGGCCATATTAGCCTTATATGATTGTTGTTACTGAGAATGTACTGTAAGGATGCTGATGAGGATTTTGTTACACCACAATGCCTTCTTTATGAGGACTGATGAGAGAAATTTAAGAAGTCTTAGTATCAGAAATATCTGTAATGCTTTTGAAAATTTAGTTTGCTTTTACATTAGAGTTATGTAATTGATCACAAAATTCTAGCAACACTAATTGCTAGAAAACATAAAGCAAAATTTGTGGCTCATTTTTAGCAACCATATCCACAAGGTATCAACTTGCCTTCCCATCACTCTTAATTCTTCATGTATTTATTTTTTAAATCATGTTGTACCTCACCCCTCCCTGGCTTCAGTCTAATTTTCCATCATTCCAATTCTTCATTTACTTAAAAAACAATCATATCATATTACTTATATATGTATGTGTGTGTGTGTGTGTGTGTGTGCGCGCGCGCACGCTTAAAAGCACCTCAAAATTTCTTAAAAGACAGGGAGGAATGAATAAACAAAAACCAACAAGCAAAAAAAACAGGCAATATTGTTCAGAATGGAGGTCATTCTAAACTTGAAGATCCCCTGTACCAAAGGTACAGACTTTGCAGATTTTGCAGCATTTAGCAGCAAAGCCTTTCAACCAAAGGGTAATTCGTAAATGAGTGTTGATGAAAAGAATGACAACTCAAACAGCACTGTACTACACTTTCTCACTCTTTTCCAGCTGGTAAGAAATGTTACAGTGAGGAAAGGGCAATTGGCTTTTTTTCACCTGTGTGCAAAGCTTAACTAAAAAGTCCATGAAAAATGCAGTCATATTGCCAGATGGAATTTGTAGCCATGTACCTGGACGTGTTTCCTTCTGGTGTGCTCTGAAGTAATTTGGGGATAACCTGTATTCAATGGTTTCTTGTTTTTCTTGGTCCGCTTCTCAAGGTATCTCCTCTGATGGTCGGTGATGCTGCTGTATAATTTAATTCGCCTGGGTGACAAACAAACTCTTTCATGACCAAAAGCATGGATCAGTCGGGCAGTATCAATGGTGGAAATAGAGCTGCTCCTCTCATGCAGAGTCACTTCCTTATCTGTTTGGGTCAATATATCTGATTCCACAGAAGTGGTGGTGGAAAGGATGTTGGTGGCAGTATCTGTGAGCAGCTCACTCTCCTCTGAGTGTCTAGAATCTGAAGAAGTGTTATTTATATAATGAAAACCTGGCTGTTTCCTCAGAATACATTTATCAAATTTAATCTGTTCAATTTTAATCTGATTGGACCTCCCAGCTTGATGAGTAGAAAGAACCTTGTTTTCTTTAAGATCGCCTGTGTTTTTATGGCATTTCTCCAGGCTTTTATACCGTTTCTTTTTCTGAAGCTTGTTTTTCTGCTGTTGCTGTCTACCACTCCATTCCTTAACATCTTGTTCCCCCTTGCTATCATCCTGTGTACTTTCTGAGGGCTGGAGAGAATGTGTGATGGGATGCTGAAGAAGTTTAGCCAAACGATCAAGTCGCTCCACCAAGGAAAGTTCCTTCTTGGCACTGAACTCAGGAGGTTTCTGTTGCCTCTGTCGCTCCTGATACCTGTTCCAGAGTTCATTTAAACTCACAGTGTGCTGAGCTGTTAACTCTGGGGTGGCCTTATGATCCCTTTTTAGGTCATCAACTTGTTTGTCATATTTTAGAAAGTCTCTAGCCTGACTTTTAGTAGTATGTTTTACTTCTTTGTTTTCCAAGTTTACATTGATACTGAGGCTCTCTATTGTGGTATAATCTGACTTTGTCTTTGCCACATTTTGATAAGAGGAAGGAAGACAAGTGTATTCTCTTTGTTTGTCTGGATGATGCTGAAAGGAATCTTTCCAAGAATGACTCATGAAAACTCTTCTTCCTAAGGATTCATGGCAAAAATCTTGATCACTTGGTAGGTGCACTGGATGATGAAAGTAAAACTTAGCTGACCTGAAGACAGAATGGGTGGTATTTTCAAATTCTGAATGACATCTGGACTCTGAAAAGGCAAAAAAAAAAAAAAAAAAAAAAGATTTTGAAGGACTTTCAAAATATTTGCATTCCCTTTAGAAATAGTATTCACATTTAATTCTTTAGATATAAAACAAAGACTGAAGGAAAGAATAGTCTATATAAAGATTCAGAAAATTCACTGCCTGGACAAAGGATTCATGCCTTGTGCCTAGTGGCCAGATTGGCATGGTAATAGTTTAAGAAACTCAGGATCAAAAGACCCAGATTCTGGGCTGGATTCTGCCACAGACTGGCTGTATGACCTTGAGGAGGGCATTTTGGTCCCTGGGATTGTAACAGCAGCTGCTATGTATTACTGCTTACTGTGTGTGGGGTATTATGATATATGCTCTATATCTGTTTTTTTCCCCTCTTATAAAACTGAGAGAGAGGTATTATTAATCTCATTTTCAGCTAAGAAACCTGAGACTTTATTTTTATCATCAGTAATTAAATGGATGGAATTTTAAAAACTCCACCTCTTTACATGTTTTAGAGCCTTGAAAAATTCTTTTTTGTGAACCATCTTCACACCCCCTCAATTTTCTTTATTGTGGTAAAATACACCTAATATAAATTACCATCTTCCATCTTCACATTTTGACAGTCATTCTATATCAAAATAGGCATTTTAAGATGTAGAACATCTTAACAACTATAAACCGTAATTGTAAACATTAATTCAGTTTCCATACACATTTTTAGAGTTCTAAGTCATGGAAGAAACAGACATACACATGAAACAAAGTATCACTTGTAACTATGGGATCCATTCTTCCTTCTCTATAGATTATTGGTAATCATAATTTTCACTAAATACTCTGGGAATCCCTAAGACAATTTCCCCAAAATATAGTGGGATACATGCAATCTGCTTTTATATCTAAAGTATAAAAAGACTCTCAAACCTCCCAATGAACAAAAGTCCAGGACCAGATGGCTTCACTGCTGAATTCTACCAAACATTTAAGGAAGAATTAATATGAAAGATTCTCAAACTCTTCCAATAAACAAAACAGGAGAGAACACTTCCAAACTTATTTTATAAGGCCCACATTACCCTGTTATCCAGACGTTACGTAGATACCCAGTGTAGATACACTACAAGAAAATTACAAGCCAATATCCCTGATGAACATACATGCAAAAAAAACCCCAAACGAAACATTAACACACCAAATTCAATAATATATTAAAAGGATTATACACTATGATCAAGTGGGATTTATTCCAGGGATGCAAGGATGGTTCAACATCTACAAATCAATCCATGTGGTACATGACACTAACCAAATAAAGGATAAAAATCATATAATCAATAGATGTAGAAAAAGCATTTGAGAAAACTCAAAATCCATTCATGATAAAAACTCTCAACAAAGTAGGTCTAGAGGAAACATAGCTCAACGACCATTTCTGACAAGACCATAGCTAACATACTCAATGGTGAAAAATGGAAAGCATTTCCTTTAAGATCAGGTACAAGACAAGGATATCCACTGGCATCACGTTTATTGAACACAGTATTGGAAGTCCTAGCCAGAGCAATTAGGCAAGAAAAAGAAACAAAAGGCACCAAATCAGAAGAGAAGCAAAATTGTCACTATGTGAAAAGGGCATGATTTTATACATAGAAAACCCTAAAGACTCCACCAAAAAAAACTGTTATAACTAATACATTCAGTAAAGCTGCAGTATACAAAATTATTTAACAGACAAAAATCTGCTGCATTTCTATATATTAATAATAAGCTACCAGAAAAAGAAATTAAAACAATCCTATTCATAATTGCATCAAAAGAATAAAATACCTAGGAATAAATTTAACCAAGGAGGTAAAAGACCTGTATATTGAAAACACTGATGAAAAAAGCTGAAAAAGACATGAAAAAATGGGAAAATATTCTGTGCTCACAGATTGGAAGAGTTAATATTGTTAAAATGTCCACACTACTCAAAACAATCTACAGAGTCAATGCAATCCCTATCAAAATTCCAATGGCATTTTCCACAAAAATAGAACAATACTAAAATTTGTATGTAGCCACAAAAGACTCCAAATAGCCAAAGCAATCTTTAAAAAGTAGAAGAAAACTGTAGGCATCACACTCCCTGATTTCAAACTATATTACAAAGCTACAGTAATCAAAATGGTATAGTACTGGCATAAAAACAGACATGTAGATCAATGGAACAGAATAGAGAGACCAGAAATAAACTCTCACATATAAGGCCAATTACCTTATGACAAAGGAGCCAAGAATATACAATGGGGAAAGGATAGTCTCTTCAATAAATGGTACTGGGAAAACTGGATAGCCACATGCAAAAGAATGAAACTGAACCATTATCTTACACCATATGCAAATATCAATTCTAAATGGATTGAAGATTTAAATGTAAGAACTGAAACCATAAAATTCCTAGAAGAAAACATAGGCAGTTAAGAGCTTTGACAGTGGTGTTAGCAATAATTTTTTGAATTTGACAACAAAAGCAAAGACAACAAAAGCAAAAGTAAATAGTAGGAGTACATCCAACTGAAAGGCTTCTGCACAGCAAAAGAAGCCATTAGACTACTGAATGGAAGAAGATATTTGCAAATGATATATCTGACAAGGGGTTAACATCCAAAATACACAAAGACTTCAACTCAAATAAAAACAAACAAACAAACAACCCAATTAAAAAACGGGCACAGGATCTTAATAGACATTTTTGTAAAGAAGACATACGAATGGCTAACAAATACAGGAAAAGATACTCAGCACCAATAATCATCAGAGAAATGCAAACCAAAACCACAATAAGATATCACATCACACCTGTTAGAATGGCTATCATCAAAAAGACAAGAAATAACAAGCATTAGTGAGGATATGGAGCTAAAGGTTCCTTTTTCTGTGCACTGTTAGTGAGAATGTAATTGGTGTTGCTGCTATGGAAATCAGTATGGAGGTTACCCAAAGAGTTAAAAATGGAACTACCATATGATCTAGCAATTCTGCTTCTGGGTCTATACACAAAACAATTGAAAGCTTGGTCTTGGAGAGATATTCGTATATGTGTGTTCACTGCAGCACTATTTAAAATAGCCAAGACATGGAAACAACGTTAAGTGTCCACTGATGGATGAATAGATAAAGAAAATGTGGTATGGGGGGTGGGAGGAATTGGGAGATTGGGACTGACATATATACACTATTGATACTATGTATAAAATAGATAACTAATGAGAACCTACTGTATATAGCACAGGGAATTCTACTCAATGCTCTGTGGTGACCTAAATGGGACAGAAATCCAAAAAAGAGGGGTATATGTATACGTATAGCTGATTCACTTTGCTGTACAGTAGAAACTAACACAACACTGTAAAGCAACTATACTCCAATAAAAATTAAAACAAAACAAACAAAAAGAAAATGTGGTATAGAGGAAAGATGGCAGAGTAAAAAGACCTTGAGCTCACCTCCTCTCACAAGCACACCAAAATCACAACTATCTGCAGAACAACCATTAAAAAAAAACATACACACACAAAAAAACTGGAACCCACCAGAAAAGATCTCCTACACCAAAAGACATAAAGAAGGAACCACAACAAAACTGGTAGTAGGGACAGACTCACGATATAATCAAATCCCATAACCCCTATGTAGGTAACCTGAAAACTGGAGAGTAAATATATTACAGAGGTTCTTCCAGACTGGGGGTCTGGCACTGTTGAGATGAGCCCACAGAGCATTTGGCTTTGAAGGCCAGAAGGCTTAATTGCAGGAGCCCCACAGGACTGGGGAATAGAGATATCGCTCTTAAAGGGTGCACATGAAATCTCATATACCCTGGGACACAGGGCCAAAGAAGTAATTTGATAGGAGCCTGGGCCAGACCTACCTGCTGGTCTTGGAGAGTCTCCTGGAGCGTCAGGGGTTGGGGGAGGGTGGCTGCGGCTCACCCTGGGGACACAGACACTGGTGGCAGACATATTGGGGAATACTGTTGGTGGATGACATATTGGCTCATTAGCTCCAAAACCTGGCCCCACCCAACAGCCTGCAGGCAACAGTGCTGGGACGCCTCAGGCCAAAGAACTAACTGTGTCAGGACACAGCTCCACCCATTAGCACACAGGCTGCCTAAAGACTAAAAAGCTCACAGCTGCCTTTGGACTCGCCCCTAGACATGGCCCAGCCCACCAGAGGGCCAAGACCCAGCACCATCCACCAGTAGAAAGGCACAGGACTCTCCCACCAGGAAGCCAGGCCAAGCCTCTAGACCAGTCTCATTCACCAGGATGCAGGCACCAAAAGCAAGAAAACTATGATTCTGCAGTGTAGGCCAGAGCCTACCCTGGGACCAGCTGGGGCCTGGACTGGCCCACTAGCAGGCCAAAGAAACCTTCAGGACACTCCAGACCCTGTACCCAACTGTGTCAGGAACCGACACCACCCCCACAACAACCTGAAATGAGCTCTGGAATCCCAGGGCCCTGCAGCTGGACTCCAGGAGCCAGCTCTGCCTGCCAGTAGACCAGCACTAACCCCAGGATCTGGCTTCAACTACTAGTGGGTAGGCAACAATCCTAGGGTCTTCAGGACCCTGACTCCATCCACCAGTGAGCCAGCATTAGCCCCGGGGCCCCTAGGATTCTGCAACCAGCCACATTGTGACCAGACCCTGCTAAACAGCAGCCAGCAGCATCCACACAAGGCAGCACCTAGCAACCAACCAGACTGCCCACATAGCTAGCCCACCATAAGAGAAGGCCCAAGTGGCCCTCTTAGGGTGAACCCCTAGAGCACACGGCTTGGGTAACAAGAGGGGAGTGCACTGCTGGAATGCACAGGATGCCTCCTACAGAGGGCCACTTCTCCAAGGTTGAGAGATGTAACTTACCTACTACATACATAAAAATACAAATAGCAACTTCTTGACAAAATGAGATGGCAGAGGAATACGTTTCACATGAAGGAACAAGATAAA